ATGCATGCATGCATGCATGCATGCATGCATGCATGCATACATGTTTCTATGTATGTATGTATGTATGTATGTATGTATGTATGTATGTATGTATGTATGTATGTATGTATGTATGTATGTATGCAATGTATGTATGTATGTATGTATGTATGTATGTATGTATGTATGTATGTATGTATGTATGTATGTATGTTGAATGTGCGTATTATGTATGTTTGATATTTTGCATAAGTTTGTAGTGCATATGCTCATATGTATGCATGCATGCATGCATGCATGCATGCATGCATGCATGCATGCATGTATGTATGTATGTATGTATGTATGTACACAGGGTATGTATGCATGCACGTGCGTTCCTATGTACATATGTATGCACGTACTTGTGATGTGTGTGTTTATGTATGTATGTCTGCATGTCTGCATCTATGCATGCATGCATGCATGCATGCATGCATGTATGTATGTATGTATGTATGTATGTATGTATGTATGTTTGTATGTATCTTCGTATGTACCTGTCATGCATGCATGGATAGATGGACCGATGGATGTATGTGCGCATGCATGTATAGCTGGTAAAGCCATCTGGTACAGAAATACTGAAATACATGTAGCAACTCATGGGTCCATGCGATGTGGTTTGTGAGTTTATGGATTATGAGGTCGGTCATTGTCGCAAAAAGGGGAAGCTATGCATACTTTTGGGCCGGGCCGAGGTGGAGAGTGATGCGGAGAGTGTTGCCAGCACAGTCCCGGCATTTTGGCTGCAGGGGGAACTTGGGTGTTTGTAGTCTTGAAGACATCCCGAAGAGATGTATCAGAAAACTAGAATAGGTCTTGTAGAGAGCGAAGCGAACACACAGCGGCCGTTTTCTGGAACTGGCAAACGAAGTCCTCTTGCTGCTTCAGGATAGCGATCGTGGAGAAGACGGGCCTCCGACGGAGCCTACACCTGAATCCTTCGTCTTGCTGAAAAGTTCCCTGGAATCTCCTCTCGACGAGGCCTGGACCGGAAGAAAGTGCCGCAGGGCCCTGCGAGGCTATAGCAGCGGGAGCGAAGGGCACTGGCGTCACAAACTCTTGCACCCCTGAAAGAGAAGGAGAAGGCTGACTCCGCCCCGGCAGCTCAAGAGCTGCAGAATTCTTTGGTCGAAGAACAGGAGTTGCTCGGTTTGCATGAGGGTAGTCTTCTAAGTTAGAGTCCTTTTTGGGTCCCCAATATAGTACGGCACCCTTATAACATGGACCCTAAAAGGGACCCTGATTTAGAAAACTACCCATGAGCTGATTGGGAGCCTCAGCATAGGCTGTCGGTAGACCTTGCGAGTGGCCAATGCCAAGTCCAGTCACACATCTGCTTCTAAGGTCTGCCTTCCCTGGTCTGCAACCGGAGGCCGAGTTCGAAGACCAAACACTGTTTGCATCGCATGAACAAGAGCTCTTTGGGCGTGCCAGTGTGCCATGGTAAGCAAGCATATGATTATCGTCGAAACCATGACTCTGAGATGCGAGGCCTATACTGAAAGACCTTCCGTGTAACACACCCAAAGCTTATGGACCCCTAAACCCTGAAATCCTTCAACCCTACACCCTAAACAAAAACAAACTAAAGCCACCTGCCAAATTCCTCCGGTTCAAAAACTTGGCCCAAACGGCAAACGGGACCCTGGGATCCGCGGGTCCAACTGTCTCGGCCTCCGACACGCGCATTTGCAGTCGTGCTGCGGCATTGCCGCCCTTTCTGGGGCTCTGCCGCAACCCTGGTACGGGACACTGGTACGGCACCGAAATCTTAGCTGGCCTTGCCAGGCTTCGCCACAATGCAGCCTTCACGGAAAACTTCAGCAACAACATCGCGAAGATCCGGCACCGAAAACACACTCCTTCAGTCGTGCATTTATTCTCGCCTTCCTTGTGCGAGGAAACATGGAAAGCCGTATGCCCTGAGAGTTGTAAGTGGGTGGCCTACGCTCGAGCCCACAAAAGCGCTCTTTCGTTTGGCACACCCTAAAAACAACCCGACACGATCCAAAGGTTTCAGCCCAACGTGGCGTTCCAAACCCAGACATGGGCGAGAGAAAAGAGGGTGCAAACAAAGAAACACGATCCAAAGCTTGTGGAAGCTCGAACCCGAGGACTACCGCGCCAGGCTCCAAGCGGCCAAGGCGGTTGCTGAGGAGCTTCGGTCGAAGGAGCCCGTCTTCGCTTCATCCGTGTGTTTATTAGGGGTGTAGGGTTTAAAGTGGTTGGGGGTTCAAGCCTTACTGCAGAGACCAGACTAGATTGACAGAAATGGTCAAGGTTCTATGGTCAAAAGCTTTTGTTGGTTTCAGGGTGTCTTTGTTGCACTGCACAGTTTTCACAGTGTATGCTCTCGTTGATCATGCCAACGTGACGTTATATTTGTGCTGTCTTGAGCAGATTCAGGAAGCCAGACAAGGACAGGGCTTTTCAGCGACCGTGTGAGCCGCACCATTGAGGAGCCGCTTTTGCAGAACGGGCAGCGGACGGTGCGAGACAATCCCAACTTCGCCGGAGGCTCAATTTGCATCAAGATGTCGCAGGTTTGAGCATGCGATATAAACTGCACTACACACGGCATAATGGCGCTGGTGCCAGGGACGTACAATCCTGTAGTGTCGGCTGCTTCGAATCAGCAGTAGAATGGCAGCGGAATGAATGGAAGAGCATCCAACTGAACGAGTGCCAGGCTACTGAAACAGAGATCATCTGTGAACATTGGCGCGTTGGAGACGTCATCAGCGACGCATCGTGTAAAGGGGTCGTGTAATCTCAGGAGAGCATACAGCAAGTGCAAAATCCATCCAAACACTCAAACAGTGGCAGAATGTGCATGACACCAGCACGCCTGCTGCAGTCGTCAGCTACTCGAAGAAAATGCCGGGCAGAAACGAGAGCAATGCAGTCGCAGATCAATCGAAAAAAGACGCCCGATGTCCACCCAGTAGCAATGACACAGCAGTGGAAGGTCCGTTGGGGGCGCAGGATTTGCGAGTTGGGTCTGTGAGAGCAGCCAATTCAGTAAGCCATTCCTAGTACTGTATGTGCCACTTGACAATGATACTGCCACGAGATTGCCGGACCACTTGGTTCCATGGTTGCCCTGTTCATGTGTCATTTGTGGACGGGTATGATAGTCACACTGCGGCATCGTTGTAGTGTCATACTCCTCTTTGCTACATGACTCGAACGTGGTGACTCCACTGTTCTGTGCTGGTTCCTTGGCTGAGGTCCAGACTTTCTTCAAAGCCACTTGGCCAGCGACTGCAGCGTCAGAGTCCGAGCTACGTTTCTTTTGTTTTGATTTTTCATCTTCTGGTCTTCATTGAAAAACTAAACCCCGGACCCAAAGCCCGTGACCCCGAACCGAGGCGTTATGCACAAAATCCCGATCCGACTTCGGCAGGCGAGCCGACTTCATTTCATCGGTGTGTGGCGCGAGCGCTACGAGGCGAGGAGCCGAAGACAAACCGCATGCAACTGATGCCTACCGGGCGGTTTACGATGTGCACAGTTAGCTACTAACCTGAAGGAGAAGGAGCCGGAGCAGCAGCAGTAGCTGCCCTGTGGGTCCATTCTTGACTTCTGCCGTTGTAGCTAGAAAGAATTTCATGACAGAGGCAGTTGTTGTCGTCGTCGCAGTATAGCAGTAACACTGGCAGTATCAGTTTCCGTAGCCATAACATGGCAGTAGCAGTAGCCGCAGTAGTGTGGGGGTCACGGTCGTCGTCGTCGTGGCCTTCGTCGTCGTCGTCGTCCGCATCAGCATCGGCGTTTCTGTTTGCATCGGCGGCCGTGGCGGAGGCTGTGATGGCGGAGGCGGTAGCAGCGGCGGCGGCTGCGGCGTCCTCCGCGTCCTCGTCGTCGTGGTCGTCGTTCTCCTCTTCGTCGTCTTGGTCGCCCTCAACCGTTTTTGTTCTTTGGGTGGTTGTTTTCGTTGTTGCTTGATTCTTTCTTTCCAGACTATTGTGGTTCTTGTACCGTTACAATATGTTACAATGCTGCTAGTGCCAGCAGTTTCTGAATCGACAGCTTGCAGTCACAATCATTCATCCTTGTGCAGCCGAAGCCAGACAAGAACTCGTGTATTTAAGTCGAATCATGCAGCTACTCCTGCGTTTGCAAGTTGTAACATATTGCATTGGCGCGTCGCAGTCGTACGTTTTCTGCCGAGCCTCTACCGTTGAATCGTACCAATTGACAGGAAATCCTTGACAGCCTGCCACCGCCTCCGCCACGCCCTGCCTTGCGTGGCAAGTCGGCCACCTGACCGACCAATGATGTCACGTGCAGATTTTGGGGTACATTATACTAGAAGTTCAAGAAGGAGCCCCCAAAATCAAAATAGATAATTATCAGGGCCCCAGGGAGCCCTGCCAAAACGGAAAGCATTGAGGGGTCTTTACTGGTGCCTGCAGGAGCTAACCTCCAGGCACCTTTCGAAGCAAGGTTTGGCCCTCAAAGCCAAACAAAGATGGAAGGGAATGACCCAAAACGGGCAAGGGTTCTGCCAACTTATAGGGCTCTTTCAGCGGCTACACCCGTGTTGCGTGTTCCTTGAGGTTTTCCTACATATCGACATGGACTGCTTCTTCGCCAGTGTTGCCACCCGTGGCCGCACGCAGACCTTTGCAGGCAACGGATGAATTTAAAAGCCGAAAGAGAACGCGGAAGTCTCAGAGTTCTCTCCGGCCCCGACTTTTCTCAAGCTGCCCATGGTCAGGTTTGCCCGTCGCCGTGGCGTGGGGCACTGGAAGCAGCAGCGAGATTTCCTCAGCCAACTACTGCGCTCGGGCTTACGGTGCCTCGCATTTGCATTGCAAATCCCAGCCGTTATGGCTACCTGTAGATTCGGGTCTACAGATGCGTTCTGCTTGTTTCGAGCTCTGACAGACTGCTTTCAGGTATTCGTGCTGGGATGTGGGCCGGCGAGGCCTTCCAGTTGTGCCCAGACTTGGTGGTGATGCCCTACGAGTTCGACGCCATCATGGAGACTGCGGAGCTATTCTACAGGAGTGTGCTTGAAACCACTCCCTACGTGCAAGGTGCCGGAGAAAACCCAGCCCAAACCTAGCATGGTTCTCTAACTGTGCTTACATCTACCCTAGAACAAGAGCTATGCCAACCTATACGCGAGACTGCGTTCAGGCATCTCGTGTGACGAGGTCTTCGCAGACGTCTCGCACCTTGTGCAGGATGACGTACGTTCATGGCAGGCTCTCGCGCGGAAGATCCGCGCTGACATCTGGAGCCTGGGCTGCCATAGTTTCCCGTAGTTGCACGCCCTCATAGAATCCTTTATATTAGTATTATATATTATATTTTTATTATATCATATTATTATGTATTATATTATGTTCTATCAAATTATTTTATAGAATCGTTGAAAAAACAGCAGAGCGAAGCAGGGGTTTTGGATGGGCTTCAGGAGTCGAAGTGGATGCGTTGCCTCGATTGGCGTGGCTAAAAATCGGCTGCTTGCCAGGCGGCTCGGGTGGATGTGGGTAGTTCTCTAAATTAGGATCCCTTTTTAGGTCCCCAATATAGTACGGCACCCTTATAAAGGGGACCCCAAAAGGGACCGGAATTTAGAGAACTACCCATGTAGCACTCTTGTAGCGAACCCTAAACCCTGAACCCCAAGCCGTTTCCTTGTTCTGATGTCCAGCGGATGCATCTCGGTCCAGGCTGGCGACAAAGTTTGCAAAGCCGCGACCGGGATGCAGAAAGTGTGGAAAAGCCGCGCTGGACCGCGCTGGCGAGGAAAGCGGGCTCCGCCCTTGCGATGAGCACGCAGGCCGGGGCCGAGAGCCCAATTGCAAACCAAAGCTGTGTTTTTGTGTTCGTGACAGACTGCGAGATTCTTCCATTGAGCCTGGCTCCTGAATCCCGGCATCTCCAGCCCTAAGAAGAACACTGAAACCCCAAACCGGCCCTTGCGAGGTATTTTCCTGCTGGAGGAGCCTGCAGTTCTTTTTTGGTGAGTTCTTCGGACTTAAGATTCATGGGAAGTAAGTCTTGCTCGCCGAAAAACCACACGAAGTACTCTCCGAATCCAAACTTAGACAGCCTAGGCCTAGGCTTATGTAGGTAGTCGAGAGGAGAGCTCCGAGTGCCTGGCGGCGCTTCCGGCGAGGGAGCTGCCGGGCGTGGGCCCCGAGAGTGAGAAGCAGCTCCAGAAATCTGGAGAGGGATGGGCTTAGGGTTTGGGGTTTAGGGCTGAGGGATGGAGTGGGATGAGTTTATTGGCGGTTCCTTTGTCGGGTCTGCATCAGCTTCAGCCCTCTGTGAAGGAGTACAAACAGTGGGCGACCTGCGAACTGTTCCTTTGGCAAAGCTCCGGGAGCTCTTCGGCGAGAAGCAGGCGCAATCCCTTTTTCGACTTTGTCGAGGCATCGACGACCGGCCTTGGGATCCTCGGCCAGCTCGCAAGTCCGTGGGTGCACAGATCGCCTGGGGCGTCCGCTTCGAAGGTTCCGAAGCTCTCCGCCGCTTTGTTGCGGAGCTGACGACGGAGGCGCTGCGCCGCCTGGAGCGCCATGGGCGAAGGGGCAGCTCGCTCACGGTGAAGGTCTGGAAAGCCCGGCCAGATGCCCCTCACTGCGGAGGCTGGGGCTCCCTTTCGATTCGTGAAAGCAGTCTTCCCTGATCTTCCCTGACCCTTTGTCGAGGCGTCGGCAGTGGAGGCTGCGACATCCTCTCGCGCTCCGCGCAGTTCGCCACGGATCCCGGCCTTGCTCCGGCTGCAGTGGAGGCCACATGTGCAGAAGCCTGGAGGCTCTGCGAGAGCACCGGCGCAACTCCGGCACAAGTCCGTGGGTTTGGAATCCACATCGGTGGTTTAGAGAAGGCTCAGCCGAGCATTCCTTCCCTGATCGAGAGCCGCAAGCCACAAAGTCTGGAGAAAGTGATCCTGCATCTGGATGTGGACTGCTTCTTCTTGGCCGTCCACGAGAAGTACGACCCTTCTTTGAAGGAAGCAGGACCACTGGTTCTGTGGCAGTACAACGACGTCATTTGCATTAGCCCTGAAGCAAAAGCTTCTTGTCGCAAGAGCTGGCAGCTAGCTGTCTGTGGCCGCATTACTCGAGTCTGAGCAGTGCTCTTGGGATATTATTGCAAATACTACAACAAGAATAATTAGAAACTACAGTATTTTTTGCATTTTTAATTGTACTAGCTCTTGTTCTTGTTATTATTCTTGTTCTTGTGGTGGTTGGGAGTGTGGCAGAGCTTAGGCCGCTGGGGTGAAGAAGCATATGCGGCCAAGCGAGGCGCAGCCCCTCGTCGAGCCTTGGGCCTTGTGGTGTTTTCCAGACCTTGGACTTCTGAGATTTAGGGATACCCAAACCTCCCTTAGTTCTGAGCCATGTCATGTCATGTCTCGTGTCTGCAACCGCACCCCCTCTTCGTGAGAAGACCCCATTATGACGTGAAGCCACTTCCCCGAGATTTCAGGAGCTGCTCCAGGCGAGAGGCGAGGTCGGGGTGCAAACTTTGCAAGCTGAGGACAGCATCGGCGGGCGCATGGTGCACGCCTTCTCCAGGCGCTGGCCAGGCCGACTGCGCTTGTTTAGGCCATGTCGGCAAGGGGGTGAGGCCGAGGAGAGGTTTGGGGATTGCTGCGTTTTCGTTTCTCCCTGGCCGAAGGTCCCCGCGTCTGGTATGGCCCCTACCAGACCATCAGCAGGGAGATGTTCGCTCATCTCCACAGGCTGCTGGCTGAGGAGCCGGGTGGCTTTATCCTGGAGCGGCTCAGCATCGATGAGGCCAGGGACGTCTCCGACGTCCTTGCACCATACAGTCCTGAAAGGGTAGTCTGCTTTGTCGAGGCCTTCCTGGAAGCTTCAGAGGCCGTGGCAGGTGCAGATCGCTATGCGCAGGCGAAAAGCCTTGCTCAGAAGCTCGTCACAGAGCTTCAAGCGACCATCGGAGTCCGTGTCAGTGTCGGCATCGCTCCCAACCGCCTGCTTGCAAAGCTGGGTTCCATCGCAGCAAAGCCGCCCCGCGGGGACGGCATCTGCATCGTCGAAGGTCCCGATTCCTGTGCTTCTCCGGCATTTGAGAGACTCGAGACATGAGCCGAGCTGTCAAAGCCATGTTCTGGGTCTAATATGCTTCGGCACAAACACTGGCCAATTGCGACAACTGTCCTTCCCACAAGCTCGTGTAATGGCGCGTAGAAGTTATTGCGGATATGATTAGGATGCCGCTAGAGTTACTCTGCCCTTAGGTGCTTCACTGCTGGCTGCCACACCTGCAACCCGGCTGCCGGGTTGCGGGAGCCGTGGCGAGCAGCTGCAAGCACCTTGCCCGTGGAGGTCTGAGCAGTGGCCGTGCTCTTTTCGCCCTGGCTGTCACTAACTGAACCAAGTGAATCACATGGCACAGCTAACACGCACCACCGTTTTGGCCGGCCAGATCATTTGGGCCATCATCGGAAACCGTAAGGACGAGGTTTTGGATGCGTTTTAGCAGCATCTGAACTCGTCACAAGCAAACAAACAAGCACTGGTCTTCATGTGACTGAGTTCTCAGGATACATATTGCTACAGACTCTGCGGATGGAAGGAAGTCCTGAAGCAGGGATTTCTCACAACCTTGCCGCAGCTCCATACACAGAATAAACACAGGGCTGGGTCATTCCTTGAGGCACTGAATCTTCAGACCGCTGCAGATCTGCAACGCTTCGGGCGCAAGGAACTCCAAGAAGCTCTGGGCCCTGAGCTCAGGCCAGTCTTGTGCCGTCTCTCACAGGTTTCAGTGCGTTCATGTCCATGTCATATCCGGTTGTACCCGCGTAAGCCCCGCATGCCGCATGCCCCTATTGGGGCTTTAGTTTTCTACAAGATGGATTTGGCACTGCAGGGATAGGATCACTTTGTTGACCTTTATCATCTCAGATTTTGCTTTGCTCCCGCCAGCACGGTACACTGTTCCTCCTCCTCCTCCTCCTCCTCTCCGACCACTCCTGCTGCTCCTGCTACAGTGTTCTTGCTTTAGCTCAATGGACGGACTTACTTTTCGGTCTTCATCCAGACTGTGGGCATGGCATGACTGGAAGTGACTGCGGTTAGTTCTTTGCATTTCTTTGTCCAAAGTCACGAGGACCTGAAGGCTTGTTCTGACCTTCCGTTCTGCGCCCTATGTGAAGTTTTTGGCTGTGGCTACGAGTTTGGTGGGCGGCTGCTTTCAGCGACCTCACAAGTCTCAACAGTAAGTTTGGTGAGCCAGTGACTGGAGTACACGGTTCCCCTACGAAGAGCCCTGATGTTCTTCTGCATGTGCTTGGTTCGTGCCAAGTACCACCACCGCCTCAAACTGCCCCCGATATATATGCTTTGTGCACACCTGGTCTCTGAGGGAGCCACTCTCCACTGACATGAGGTGATCGCCCTTAGGGCACGCGAAACTTTTTGACTGAGTCGGGTGGATTTGAGGGCTGCTTTTGGGCTCGGACTTTGATGACTGCCCGCTGGTGCTACAAGATCCATGACCCGCAGCAGGGACTTCACATCGCGCTTAGTCCTGACATGGTGTACGTTGGCGTATGTGTCAGAAGAAGTGCTGTGATCAGACGGGTACCATGCAAAAGATGTCCAGCTATTGTGATCGCGTCAAAACTGCAAGACGGCCTGTTCCGTTTCACTCCAAAGAGTTGATGTTAGATGTTGCAGGAGTGTGCTGTAGCAGCCGGAGTCGAGACAAGTTTAGGCATTTGCAGTTAGCGTCAGGATGACAAAAGCATATTATGTTGTCATGAGTGCATGCTTTTGCGCTGCGTGCCACCTCTCCACCTCTGGCTGACTCCTAATATCAACTAGCACTAGCACCAGCACCGGCACCAGCACCAGCCTTTTATCATCACCACCAAGAACATTATCAACTCCACCATCATCATCACCAACACCACCTTCTTCTTCTTCCATCGCAGCCTGGTCCTCGATCCGGCTAGCGAGCGCCTTCAGGACGACTCCTGTCGCCTCGTCCGCTTGAAGCGGAATGGCACGAATGCTCCGTTTGAGCATGCACTCTACTTGTTTAAAAAGCGCCTATAAAAGGAATGCGAGCTGTTCCACGCACGCAAAAGCGCATCTGCGTAAGCATCCTGCGTCCATCAAAAATTGGAGCAAGATCCCAGCTACTCAGTCATCCAGGGTGTCGAGCTCGGAGGGCACCTCCTCACTCGTGACTTTGTTCCTCCCCGGTGCCGTCAGCGCAGGAGGTAGTCGCATGAGCAGCCGTCGCAGAGTGTCCTCGAGACTGTCCATTCGCATCTGTAGCAGATGAATGTCCATCGTCAGCCGCCTGACCCACATCTCCAGGAACTCCTGGTGACTGCTGAGCCATGTTTCGCGTGCCCTCCTCATGTTGGGTATGGAGCTGCCGGTTTGCATCATGCCGAGGGTTGACAGCCCTGGGGGAGTGCTGACGGCCCGGGCGAGCACTAAGAGCACTAGGAGCGGCTGCTGCAATCATGTCACTGCGACAGAGTGCAATGATGTACATGGAAACCGATGTATCCTCTAACTCCGGCTCCGTGGCTTTTTGCGGGATCCGGTCATCGTCCAGTAGGTATGGCTCGCTGCTGTTTACAAGGACCGTGTAATGCCCTGAAGTTGGTACATGACCATGATGTCGTATGTAGCATGCGACATGGTAGTCTCGCCACGTGACATGTAGGGTGCCCGTCTCACTGAACACTGGCAATTTGATGGTACCTGTCAGGAGGTATGGCTGCTGAGTTTTCAC